TGCCGCATTTTTTCTAGCACACTAATTTCTATTGGTAATTGGTCTACTGCGGAAGTAGCTGTTTTCGTCATTCTTTTCCTGGCCCTCGATTGATATTGGGTCAGACAGAGGAGGAAGAATTATGGAAAGAACAAGTATGATGTTTTTAAAAAAACACAGGCGACGATTTTGTGTTTAACTGTTCCGTTCTTTATAAATCTTTTTTTTTTTCAAATACGTACACATATAATTCAGAAAGAATCCAGAATTTCTGTACAGTACGAGGAAAGCCGTCAGGGGTCCAAAATCAGTTAGACCCAGGTAAATTTATGTTGTGTTTCTAGCCCTTGAAAAATTAGAATCGCTAGATAGGGATTCACCTTTTTTATCTGTCTTTTGTTTTTTTCATAGATCTTTATAATTAGTGATCCAACTAATACAGTTAATATAACAATGAAATGTATAAGTACACTGGTATCTTTAACACCACCCTAATTTCGCCCCTAGAGATATAATAGTGAAACGCCGTCTTGGGATTACCGTAAATTCCCGAAAGTACGCACCCCTTGTGCTTCTGTGCATGTAGCATGTATGTCTTAAAAACAGTTAGTTCTAGAAAATATCGTTTAAAAATAAATTTAGGCAGTGTACTATATACGTGATTGCATGATAACTGGATACAGTATTGTAGCGGGAAGCGTTTCGTGTTGGGGCTAGTTTTCATCGCTGGCTGCAGCCGATTTGCAAGACGTCACCACCGCATCGAAGGGTAAGGCAAGTGCGGCGAAACGTACAGCTTTGGATCACGGAGAGTGTTGGTGATCAAGCAAGCAATGGTCAATAAAGATTTGTGAATATTTCAATAATGGTTTTATCGGTAACAAGGGTTATAATGTTGATGCACAAGTACGTAGCTTTGTTGTTCTTTACTTCTATACGAAATGCGCCGAACACTTTAATAGGGCCCGCCCGGTCGAACCATAGAGAGCAACAATCATCGAGGCGGAGGTCTGTACTCCGTAAAACCAAGGACATTATACACACATAATGTCCTTGGTAAAACTGAGTCTGTTCAGAGGAAAGAAATACTTCCTTCTCGGGGCCAAGGTTCTGGAAAGCTGTCCTAAACGATGCCACGACCCTCTCTTCGTTCTTCAGCTGTATGTGCACTTTGCAGGGGAAAAAGATCGGCGTGCACAAGACAACGGGCGCAGCATGATTCAAAGTTTATTTTATTTACGCCCTTATTCACGCCGATCAAAAGAAACTGCGACAATTCGGTACGTGCAGGCCCGTGCACGTGGCGACACAGGCTGGCTTCCCGCTCTAGCTGTGGGTTCCCACGATGTGTTGCCAAGGGCAGCGGCACGTACACAGACCTACCGGCGGATCCCACCCACCGGCCGACGGTAAGATTGTCAAAGACTACATTTTTAACTCCGCCCCTATCATTGTTGTGTGCCGAACAGTCGAGTACATCTAACTGGCATTTTCACGTCGTACTGACTGGTATAGCCCGCTACAAAGTAATTTCCTGTTGCATTAAACAAGATTTAAAAAGATTTGTGATACGAAATGAAATATTGATAACAATTTATGTTAACTGAACCTTTGTAACGGCATGGAGATAATCTTTGTTGAAGATTTCTGAGTTCAACGCAAGCCGGAAGTGCAATAGAACTGACCATCAGTCGAGGTACAGCTATTATGTTATCACCTGTTACGTTACGACGATCAAGAACGTTCACGGCTTGTGGACCATTTCAAATATTACCACTCATAAACCCTCTTTTAATTTCATATGTACTTACGTGGGGTTTAATATTATTTAAATTTTAGGCCGGAGTTCCACGAGATCGGCGCCGGCTGGCTGGGGAACGATCCCGTCGGCATGATGGAGCGACGGGCGTCGTCAAAACGATACAAAAATGTTTACAAGCACAACGCAAGGACAGACAGATTTCTACACCAGCGCTCTTTGTGCGATCCCCCAACCCACAGACTCTGGGAAACTCAAATTACTCTCATGATAGACAAGGTGCTCCAAGCAAGTATGCAAACATTGGGTCAAAATATAGCCAAACATTGGGTTGACTTTATTTGGAAAACACTCGGTTCCGACACCCTTCTGAACAGCCAAATCGTGGGAAGCGATTTCTACCGAAAATGACCGAAGTAAAACATGACGTAATGCTTGCAACAGCATGCGGTTGCTGATTGGTCAAATGTTTGTCAGAGTATTATGGGTTGCCGGTTGCTTGCAGGACCCGGAAGTTCCCAAGGATAGGGACTCAGAACTTTTTTTCCAATCGTCCCGAAACGTAACCAAATCTACTTTCATTTCGACATCGGGACAGTGGTAACGAACACCTAATTTCTTATTTCCTGCGAAACACCTTCGCTCTCACTGCGCTCAGACAGGCAAAGATGCTTATCTAACGTATACTAAGTAGCCTCCTTGGACAGGCGAAAAAGTAAGTCAATGGCTTGAACTTTTCACCCTTTTCACCCGATCTGTTTGCTGTGTCAGGGAACAGTTTTCTCATCTCAATATTACAATTAAAATAGTTAATGACATTATGTATTCACCAATGATGGTCCCAGACTATAGAACGCCCCTTAGCAACAAT